ACTTAAATATGCGATTGTACTTCAATGGTTTTAGGCACTTTAAAAGTCACTCTATTCTGCAATGGTTTTAGAAATCTTGTATTTTTAAATTTCATATTTGAATATTTACCCTTTAAAATATATTTTTTCTCACTTATATTTTTACTTGCTAGCATGATGAGAAGATTCTTGAGCTAATTCCGATATTTTGAAAAGTTACCAAGATGATATGCACTACAATATGTCTACTTTCTTCATGAGACTTTTTGCCTACAATTTGTTTCGTAAGGAAATTTCGTCTCTTGGCAACAAATATTCATCGAGAAAAACTGTAGGCGAAAACATATTTAACTAACATTTCCAAACGAATTTATCTTCGAGAATTCTTTGAAAATAATCCAGCGAGAACAAATCCCACAAATACTGCATTTACATGTTGATATATCTTTCCCGTCGGAAAAGACAAAAAAAAAAAAATCATGGAGAACTATCATTCGTAGAACGCAAAATTTTGGGCAAAAAAATTATGTTAAGAAATTTATAGTAGGCAATAATTGTTGGAATTGTATGCCAAGGCAAAACAATAATTAAGACATTATACATTAATCAAGCATTAGGTACCACAAGTCGTTGGATGATACTATATACAAGGGTGCTCGTCACACAATTTTTTTTATTTAGCATTTTTTGGATTAAAAAGATAGGATTGTCATTTTATGTTTAAAAAATTGACTCAGAGTACTTGGATTTTTTTTTTTTCTTCTTTGAATAACAAACTCAAGTTGAGATTTTCCAAGCACAAAGATACCAACTTGATAAATTGATAAAACTACTCATAACATAGTGATATTTTTCTTCATTTATTCATTTATTTATTATTATTATTATTAATGTTTTGTCATTCCTAATTAGGCCAGTCTTTTATCTTTGAGTTGCTTTGTTGGCGAGGTAGTTTTGGGCTCTGCCCAAATTTGGTGAATCACGACAAGGCCAACCAGATGGTTCGGTACTTCGCAGGTTGTCGTGCCATGCCTAGCCTAGGGCTAAGGGCCTTTATGTGACTTTTGGAACGTCTATCCTTGCAGTGTTGAGCCAACCAAGGCCACTTGGGTCATATATACCTGACGTTGTTGGCTAGAAATGAGACCAAGCATGATCGACCGATCGGTCTATTGATGACGACAATGGATGGTGATTGCATATTCACATGCAGATTATTAACTCCATGTCTTGACATATACCACATTGTTATTGTTCTATATGTCAATATGAGAGAGTAATTTCAAACTTATGAGAGGTTTTAAATAGGGCAATTTTTATAAATATCCTTTCAAATAGAGTCTCTTTTATTTCTACTCTTTAATATTAATTTACATATTTTTATCTTTTAGATTATAACTAATCAAGAGGTAAATTTTTTTTAAAATGAGTATTTTTAATAAGTCAGGTATTTAAAGAGGTAAAACTTATAATTTTCTCTTTTAAATAATTATAGGCCCATCTAGTAGCATTTTGAAAATTGCTTTTGTTTTGAGTATAAAAATGGAAATAAGGAATTTTTTTGAAATAGTGTTGGGATTGTTTTAGAAAATGTGTTTAGTTATTTTTCTAGAGATTGTTGTATAAGAAAAAAATGAAACTGTTTTTAGCTATATTTAAAAAAAATTTATTGAGCTTAGAAAATGAATACGGAATTTAAAAAACAACTTCAGTTATTTTTCATTTTCTCAATAAAAACTATTCTATTTTTTTTTTAAATTTCTTTCTTTTTTAAACATTTACTAAGCAAACGTTATTTAGAAAACGTTTACATTTTCATGCCTCTAAAGATGGGCATAAACATTTTCAAATAAAACCGAACACCCCAAAATTTGTTTTGTTGGATATATAAATAGAAGAATTCTGACCTTGCATTATGTGTGACTCTAGGAAAAATTGAATAAATTGCCTTAAATAAATATCATTGTTTCTTTTAATATATATATATATATATATATATATATATAGTTTTTGAATGGGAAAATTGCAATTTATTCTCATGGTCTAATTTGTGGCCATATTTCAGAAAGATTATGATTGAGGGTCGGCAGAAGAAATTAATGAGGTGTGCTAACTCATTGGTGACAGGTAAGGTCCAACTAACAATATCAATAATCATTGCCCCCAGGAATCCTAGATCATAAAAATCCAACAAATCATTTTTATTGGCCTTTATATTTAATATTTCGTGTAGAAAAGTATAGCAAAAGTATATTTTGTGGACTATGCCAAATCCTTCTCTGATATTTGTAGTTTTATAAAACATATGATATTAAGATCCAAGCTGGAAAAATAGCTTTTACTGGCTACAAGTATTTAGCTGCTTTTCAAGTTAGGTTCCTCGTAGACCTAATGTAGAATGTACAAAATTAAAGTCAATATAAACGTAACGTTTTCAGCAGATCAATACTTCAATTTGAATCTCCAATTGCCTAAACAAAACGCAAATGGGATTAAGAATTTAAAGAAGGATAATAATTTTAATTGGTGTTGGAGAAAACCAGAAAGTCTACATGATTGGTCGACCAAAAAAAAAAGAAAAAGTAAACAACCTACTTGTATTACCATATGTGGCACTTGTATTATGACGTTTGGTTCATGAATTAGAATCATGATATTAGAATTATTTTTGATTTACGTGTATTTTTTGTGAGAAAAAATACTGTAGCGAATCACGAATCATGATTTGAATCGGGGTACGAATCCCCCAACCAAACAATTTAAATACAAGCGACATATAAGTAGATGGCTTTTATTTATTTTGTTTTAAGGGAGATTCTAACGGAATAATTAAGATTACCACAGTTGTAGATATAATTTAACAATAAATTCACACAAGATACCGTTTAAATGTAAAGAGTTCAAATCCTCCTACTTCAACATTTAAAGAGGGAAAAATAAATTTCCGGAACCAAGCTACTAATATTATTCTTTCCGGCCTATTTACTAGGGGAATCTCGATGTTGATTTTAACTTATTACTTATTGATAATTATAAAAATAAAAAAAACTTATTACTTATTAATGTGATGCACGTCGTAGTTAACCATCAAAGTTAACAAATTATTTGATAAGTCATCGGTATTGTCGAATCTTCATTTGTTTTTATTAATAAAAAATAACACTGTTACTTTTTTAAGCGCGCTCTCTCTTTAAAACTTTTTCTCCTCTGTGTCTCTCTAAGTTATCTCATTCTTGACATCGCAACGAGACGATCTACAAGGTAATAGGCTCCGTGTAACCTGCAAAAGTAGTGTTTCATCATATTTGACCCATGCAAGTATGAGTTTTTGGGTGGTTTTACACGATCTTTGAAGGGTGCTCGCTGGCCGTGGACTCTGGAAACTCATGAACAGACTTGAGGGAGTTGCTTGAAATTAAAAAGTTAGTTACAGTGGCGGCCTCAAAAGAGGGTCGCTACATAGGTTGTGAATTTGTGTATAGTTTTTTGTATTTTGTTGTAATAATAGTAATGGTTTCGCCCGTGGTGTTCACACCATCTCCAACTAGATCTCTCCTGTATAGGTTGTGAATTTGTGTATAGTTTTTTGTATTTTGTTGTAATAATAGTAATGGTTTTCTCATCCTTCGGTGTATTCCTCTAGCTAGAGGGTGGTTTCCCCACCTCTCTCAATATGTGGTGTTTTCTTCCTCAGTCAGTGGTTGGCTTCCTCATCGCTGCTAGTCTAAGGTATGTGTGAGGTCCAATACAGGATTAAGATCTAGCTCATTTTGAATTGATTTTTCGTGGCCAAATATTATAGAGCCATTTTTGGGAGGTATCCTTCCCATTATTGAGTTAGGGGTACGTTTCTAATGTCTAATCTTATCAGTGACACATATTCTTATGATTTTGGTATAGTCAGTATTCTAGTTTTTTAGTGATCTTTTAATGAAATTGCCATATTTACCGTAAAAGAAAAAAGAATCTTCATTTGTTTTAATCAAATTTGTGTGTGCGTATATATATTGTTGTAATTTAATATAATTCTATTATGGTTTACGCAATACTGATAAAATATATTTTATTATAATGGTCTAAACCCTACATTTCAGTTACAATTGGATCAAGGACTTATTTGACAATGGAGTTATTTGAAAAAGTTTTTGGCTTTTAACTAGTTGAAGAAGAGAAGTAAAATTGTGGCTCTTTAAGTGTTTGAAACTATATTTTTAAAAGATTTTTGTGATCAAAATGATTTTAAAATTTTCTATCTAGTTGAAGAAGAGAAGTAAAATTGTGACTCTTTAAGTGTTTGAAACTATATTTTTAAAAGTTTTTTTGATCAAAATGATTTTAAAATTTTCTATTAAACAATAAAAATATTATAATTAAGTATATAATGTTTTACTAAAATTAATTTGATACAAGTTTCAAAATCTATTTGAAAGGCCTTAAAAAAAAAAAAAAAAAAAAAAAAAACGTATTTTGCGGCATTAATTGAAAGCTCTCTAGAGAGTTGAAGCTCTTTTGATATATTGTTCAAACACTTTCAGAAGTAGCTTAAGAAGTCAAAAACAGGTTTCACGAAGATCTACCAAACAAGCCCTACACATATGTCGTCATGGGAAGGGGAAAACGTGAATATTCGGTCTTAAATGAAAGAGTATCTCAAAAATAGTTTTTAAAATTTATCCTCAATCTCACTTTGATATCTGACTTTGTAAACGTCCCAAACTCAAATCCAATTTATCATTTATTGCAGTTTTAGTCCTTTACATTAATTTGGTGTTAAAATGAGGATGAAATATGCACACTATGCTAATGGAAAATAAAATTCTGCTTAGGTGCGGATAGAACACGCCATGAGCACATGATTCTAATGTAAAAATGTAAACTCACTATTGAGAATTAAAGAATGAACTTCTATGAGATCTTGTCCACGAGACTAATCTGCTCCAAAAGCCTGCACACGAACACAAACTGAAGATAACATTGATCAAATAATTTACTTTAACAAATAAGAGAATTAAAATGTTCATTTATCGAATCCTCATACTGATAAACTGTATATTACAGAAACAGGGTTCTCCTACCATTGCTTTCAATTCCCTCCCGTGAACATTGCTTTGTTAATTAGACGCTGCGTTACACGACAGAGCATTTCTTTTTCTTTTTTTTTTCTTTCCCTTTTATTCTACCCTTTTTTATTATAAATGTAAGATCTTGAGAAATACAAATATGTGAACAAGGCTACTGAACTGAGTCCAGTGAGCAACCAATAGTAGTAATCAAGATGAGCCCGGTTAAGATTATTTGAAAACCAGCTATCGCGGCCATCTCCACCAGTGGCTTCCTCAATGATGGAGATCAAAAAACTACTCAGAAAACTCCCCACACCGAAAATACTGAGGTAGAGGGAGAGTCCTACACTCCTTAATTCCGTTGGTACCTGATCATAGAAGAACTCTTGCAGACCAACCATGGTGAAAGCTTCGGATATTCCAAACAATAAGTACTGAGGTACCAACCACCCAACACTCATTGGGACAGTCACGCCCGGCGTATCAACAAGGTCATATTCTTGAGTGGTTTGGAGCCTTTTGATCTCGACTAGAGCTGCAATTACCATGGAGATAACAGATAAAAACATCCCGGTTCCTATTCTCTGTAGCATTGTTATGCCAGATGGTTTACCAGTGAATGCTCTTGCAATTGGAACAATAGCACGGTCATAAATTGGAATGGAGACAAGAATGGCAAGCGATTCGAAGGATTGGAGTGAAGCAGGCGGTATGTCAAAGCCTGGCACAATTGTTCTCTCCATAGTAGCTCCTTGCTTGGTAAAGAAGGTAGGGCACTGTGCTCCCACAATGCCATATACCAAGCATGTTACCCAAATTGGAACAAGTCGAAGTACAGCCTTTGCTTCTTCAACTTCATCCATGCTGCAAACTGTCATATCTTCATTCAAGCCATCTGTGGCAAGCAAAGCTTTGTTGAGGAACCTGTAAGATTACAGGATAAAAATTGCTTGAAAGAAGCTTAAATTAAGCTAAATAATTTTAGCTGGCAAAATAAATAAGAGTACATTCATCTCGGTTCTTGCAATTAGGATATGGTGGTGTGAGTTATGCTAGAATTTAGAGCATAAAGTTACTTTTGAAAAATTCAGGAGTTACATTCCACTATGAAGCAAATTGTAGCTCCACGGTAGTTCAACAAGTACAGTAGGCTAACAGTGCATATTACCCGTAAATAAATGGTACAACTGTCACAATAATTTATTGTCATGATTTCCATTCGTGCTTCTACAATCCTAAATGAAACCATGACAAAAGAAAAAAGAAAAATAACTAAAATAAAATGTTAATAGAGATAACACACACAAAAAACTCATATCAGATGCTGCAAAAATTTAAAAAACCTCAGGCGCGTTTGGAACTCGTTCCAAAACAATTTTTTTTTTTTGTAAGAAAATGAAAATGAAAACGTTTTCAATCTCAGACATAAATTATTTTTGAAAATGTGTTTGGTAGTTTTATCAAGAGATTATTTTCAGTGTAAAAAAACCTATTAATGTCTCTCTTTCTCTCTCTGCTCGAGAGAGGAGAAAACGAAAACAAAAAATGAAAAATGACTAAAAGTCGTTTTTCATTTCTTTCTCATTTTACACTAAACCAAAAAATCGTTTTCATTTCCGTTTTTGGTCTTTATTGCGCCAAATGCCGTTTTGAAAATATTTTCATTTTTTCTTTCTCGAAAAACGTGAAAAACAAAAACGGGATCAATTCTAAACACGGCATTCACTTAACTTCACTTCATACAAAAACTCTATTCCTGTATAATTTTTTTGAAGGGCATAATAAAAAAAGCTTCAAGAAGCCTGCATCAGGCGCTTTAACATTTTGAAAGTGCTTAACTAATATTGCTTTTCCATTACCCTAACTAGAAAGGTTAGTCACTTACTTGAATTGTTTATAACTTTCGTGAGGCAGGATTCCACGAGATTCCTCTTTTGCGGATATTGTTGATGAGCTTGTGTGTCGGTTCCTAAATGCCGCAATAAACACCCTACTGATACGAACAAATGCGTTTTTCTCATCCCGCCTAATGCTATATCTATAAGTTCTTGTTCCAAACAAGAAAACAACCAGGCCAAGAATCATCGCTATACAAGGGATTCCAAAGCCAATAGCCCAACTGATGTTGTCTTGTACATAGCTTAAGATTGAGACAGTCACCAAAAAACCAAAGCATATACCAAAATACCACCAATTAAAGAATGAGCTTCTGGCTTTGCACTCCTCTGGATCCTGTCCATCAAACTGATCGGCCCCGAAAGCCTGAACACATGGCTTGTGTCCGCCCTGTGCAACCGCTACAATATATAGAGAGACAAATAATAGAATTACTTGGATTTGGGAAGAACACGGCATAATTTCATTGGTTTGGCAGTCAGAAGCCCCCAGAGAAGGTAGTATAGCAGACAGAGTCAACAAAGCCAGTCCCTGCAACTCACTTATGTTAATTTAGAATTTTCAATGAAGCATCTTATGCAAAAGCAGAGATTAAAAAAAAAATGTGGAGAGGTCCAAGGTAGGAGTACAAAATATATTACAAGCTTAATTATATCAGAGTTGGAAAAGAATCTTTAGTCACTGAATCTTACAAATCAGTATATCTGGCGCTAAGCAAACATCACGTGGAGCTTTTACCTGCTCCATAATCTCCATTATATTCATTATTAAAGTTACCATTGCTTCACAAATTTACGGTACGTTATCTGAACTGACAATGTCTTATGATCGTGAGATTTCACTCTACAACTATGACTGACATTATGAAAATCCATAAAGTGGATATCCCAGCAAAACAAAATAATAATAATAATAATAACAATAACAATAACGGAGTCTTTACGGTGGAGCAAGTTATATCGCTGCACTGATTGGAACTGTGTTTTTACAGTTGAATTAATTTTTTAACGGTCAGATTTATCGTAAGAGCAGTTCTCTGTAGTGCATTGTAAATGTTTAATACCGGACAGATCTTGTGAAAAATTAATCCAATATTTAAAAATAATTGTTCCTAGCAGTGGAGCAAAATAGCATGCTCCACCGTAATGATTCCTTAATAATAAATCCATGTGCTATTTTGCCATGGTATTCATTCATGACCTTGCTTCTGCCACAACCACAGAAAGAGCCATTTCCTTTTTTTTTTTTTTAAGATAACATAGTCAGTCATTAGCGATTCATCTCAGCAAGTACAACAGAGAATTAGTTGAGGCATTTTCCTCTAACCAAGTGAGTTCATAGATTTTATGGATGGCTTGGAATTAAACAAAGACAAGACAAGACAAAAGCAGGGACAAATTACCAGAATGTATAGGAGGTTAGCGAGAATGATAGTGCGGTATCGGCCGAGAAAAGAATCGGCGACGAAGGCCCCCAGTAGTGGCAGCAACGACGCCGTTCCGTCCCATGCGTTGACATTCGCCGCCGCTGCTGCCGTGGACTGCCCGAGCGGCCCGGTCAAATAGCTTATCAGGTTTGAGGCGATCCCACAATACGCGAATCTCTCCGCAATCTCCACGCCTATAATATAGTAATAAAATAAAACTCAATCTCAAATTCAAACTTAAAAAAAAAAAAAAAATCGGAGTGTTGTGGTGATCCTTTTACCGATGATGAAACCGGCGGATCTCCAACCGCCGGATTTGGATCGCAGAATAGGGCGGCCTTCGTGGTCAACGACACCGTCGACGGTGTCGTTTAGGAGTGGGGTTTCGTCGTCGTTGGCCATTATCTTGAAGTTGATGATTGGAGCTATTCATACACCAGTAGAGACAAAGCAAGCCAAAACTACATTCGGAATGATGACGTAAGTCAGAAGTTTCTTTAGGGGTGATTATTTGGGTCATCTTCAAAAAGGAAGGACCAATAACTGGGGTGGACTTTTTGTTTGCTTTGGAAAATTTATCGCGATTGAGGAGCAGGAGTAACGTCTTTTTTTTTTTTTTCCAAAGAGTTTAGGGCCCGGTTCGTTTCACATATTCGAGTTGAGATGTGATTGTATGTTAGAGTTTTTTACTGTAGTAAAAAAGTTAAATATGATTGTGTGTGAGAACTTTTTACTGTAGCAAAACTCGAATCAGCGAAACCAACGAGGCCTAGATTAATGTCCATCAAGGTGAAGCCATAAAAATAAGTGAGTGAAATATACACTAAAAATTTTATCAGATTTCACCTATAAAGTCAAGTGGAGAGATTTCATATATAGAGAGGTGGAGTATACATATAACTTCATAATTTTTGGAGGCACACTGTACATTTAAGCATTTTTGTGAGAAAAAATATTGTAATAAAATAGTTAAATTTAAATTTTTATGATAAAAAACACCCTAAAAAAAGAATTTGAGTTGTGAAATAACAAATTTCAAGGTGACTGCCTGCCCTCGATTGTATGTGATGTGCCTCCACTGTTCAGTCTAATAAAAACAAAAGACGCATAATTCTTTTAGTTCAATTCTCAAATGTCACAAGCTTTTTTAGAATGGAGTTATGTATCTCTTAATATCATATATATTCTAGGTTTATTTAGAAAGTATATCCTTGATTATTAATCTCATTAAATGTGTTCTTTCATATTATATTTAATAAACAAATGTATACCTTTTCTCGCTAGGCCTGCACAGAAAACCCGACGCATTGAAAACAAAGGTTCCAAACCAGCGCCGGCCATTTTGTAAGGAATTGGATTAGTTTGGTTTGTAAATGAGTTACAACTGAATTGAGAGTAAGGGAGAAAGATTGGCTGTTATGTGATTAGTTGGAGGGATTACGGCAACATAAATAGACAGACTAACATCTAATGAAGGGTATGGATTGTTTGGTCATTAATTGGGCTTAGGAAGTCAAAACCTCATTCATTTTACTGATTTTAATTTTGTTACAGTAAAAAATTCTTAAAAATAATCACATTAACTTTTTTGTTACAGTAAAAAAACTCTTACATAAAGTCACATCTCAACTCGAATTAAAAACTTGAATTAGCGAACTAAATGGGCCTCAAGTCTCTTAAGTACTAACTCTGTTAAGGTTTCCTGGTTGTTCTGTATACAATGATGCTTAATAAAATTTCATAGGTTTCATTCAATTTGTGTTGAAAAGAATTCGTTACTTGAGTCATTTTAATGGTATTCTTGAACCGTGAACATTGGCGAAATAATTTAACAACAATTTGAACTAACATTTTTTAAGTCCTAATACCTATAAATTGCATATTATACATTAAAAATGGTCGCCTGCCAATTTTTTAAAATCCCCTCCTTGAACATTTGCTTCATGAATTAGAGACTGCAGTTACACAACAGAGCAATTCCTTGTCCTCTTTCCCCTTTTTATTCTACCCCTTTTTCCTATAAATGTAAGATCTTGCAAAATACCAATAGAGGAACAATGCTACTGAACTGAGTCCAGTGAGCAACCAATAATAGTAGTCAAGATGAGCCTTGTTTAGATTATTGGAAAACCAGCTATGTCGTCCATCGCCACCAGTTGCTTCCTCGATGATGGAGATCAAAAAACTGCTTAGAAAACTTCCCACGCCAAAAATACTGAGATAGAGGGAGAGTCCTATACTCCTTAGTTCAGTTGGGACCTGATCATAGAAGAACTCTTGCAGACCAACCATGGTGAAAACATCGGATATTCCAGACAAGATATACTGAGGTAGCAACCACCACACGCTCATTGGGACAGTCATGCCCGGTGTATCAACAAGGTCATATTCTCGAGCGGTTTGGAGTCTCTTAATCTCAACTAGAGCTGCAATTATCATGGAGAGAACAGATAAAAACATCCCAGTTCCTATTCTCTGTAGCATTGTTATGCCAGATGGTTTGCCAGTAAAAGCTCTCGCAACGGGAACAACAACACGATCATAAATTGGAATGAAAACAAGAACGGCAAGTGAAACGGTGGATTGGAGTGAAGCTGGTGGTATGTCAAAGCCTGGCACAATTGTTCGCTCCATAGTAGCTCCTTGCTTCGTAAAGAAGGTTGGGCACTGTGCAAACACAATACCATATACCAAGCATGTTACCCAAATCGGAACAAGTCGAAGTACAGCCTTGGCTTCTTCAACTTCGTCCATGCTGCAAACTATCCCATCTTCATTCAAGCCATCTGATGCAAGCAAGGCTTTGTTGAGGAACCTGTAAGATTACAGTATCCAAATCACTTGAGAAAGGCTTTGATTAAGCTAAAGTCTAAACAATTTTGGCAGGTAAAATAAATACTCTATTCATTCGTCTCGCAATTAGAGTATGGTGGTGTGAGTTATACAAAAATTCGGAGCATAATGTTACTTTAAAATAAATCAAGAATTTCATAATGTTATGGAGGTAATAGTAGCTCTGCTATAGTTAAACTTGTACAGTAACGGTTACTGTGAAACCTTTGAATAATTACCAGTAAATAAATGGAGTATCTGACTCATAATAATGAGTCAAGAATTGATGTCATGTCGCAGGATCTTCTATCCAAAATATGAAATGATGTCAAGAAAAGCAATTAGCGCAAATGGAATGTTATTAAAGATTTAAATACACAACAAACTCATGTCAGATGCTGCAGCAATAAATTAACTCATGTCATATAATTTGTAAGAATAATGAATTAACGAAGAGCTTCAAGATGCCTGTATTCTTTAACGAATATTGCTTTTGCATTCACAAATCAAAAAAGGATAATCACATACTTGAATTGTTCATAGCTTTCGTGAGGCAGGATTCCACGAGATTCCTCTTTAGTGGCTATTGTGGATGAGCTTGTTTGTCGGTTCCTAAATGCTGCGATAAACACCCTACCAATACGTACAAATGCGTTTTTCTCATCCCACATAACACTATACCTGTAAGTTCTAGTTCCAAGCAAGAAAACAACCAGACCAAGAAACATTGCAATGCAAGGGATTCCAAACCCCAGAGCCCAACTAATGTTGTCCTGTACATAGCTTAAAATTGAGACAGTCACCGAGGAACCTAAGCATATACCGAAATACCACCAATTAAAGAATGAGCTTCTGGCTTTGCACTCCTCTGAATCTTGCCCATCAAACTGATCGGCCCCGAAAGCCTGAACACAAGGCTTGTGTCCGCCCTGTGCAACCGCTACTATATATAGAGAGACAAAGAATAGTATAACTTGGATTTGAGAAGAACACGGCACGTCTTGGTTGATTTGGCATTCAGAAATAGAAGGCAGCATCGCAGACAGAGTCAACAAAGCCAATCCCTGCAATTCATTTATGTTAGATTATAATTTTAAATGTTTAGGCTCTTAAATCACAAACATAATCATTTACAACAAATACAATCAAACATCTCATACAAGAGCTAAGAGAGAAAAAAAGATGGAAAAGAAAATATATTACAAGCTTAAAAATAGGTTACATTTATCTATACATATATTTCTTATAAATTTGGATTCTTTAAAGTTACGATTTCTTTACAAATGGGATACAATTTATAGTACGCAATCGGTAGTAACAATGATGAACGTTCCAAAATCTTGAGCTTTCACTTTTGAACCATGATTGAGATTATGAAAGTCCATAAAGTCGATATCTCGGCTAAAAAAAGAAAAAAAAATGCATATGATATTTTGCGGTAGTATTTACATATGCTCTTGCTTCTACCATGACCACTCGCAGAGTAATTTCCAACTTTGTGAGATTTTCTTTTTTAGGAAACTAGTTGGAATAATTTTTCAACGGTCTGATTTGTAATTATGCGCAGTTATGTGTTGCACTCTATGGATTAGTTTTCGTACCAATGGATAAAATAGCAGTTTCTACAGTAAGGTTTCCTTAAATTTTCAAACCATCAAATGTTTAATCTCTCATTAATTCTTCTATGATCTGGCCTTCATAATTGCACAGGATTTACATCTTATCATCATGCTTAGAGTTCCATTAGATTCTGCGCAACATATAGTTTGATTTGAATCCTAAGGATGCGATTCAATTAAACAAAAGACAAGACCATGAAAGGGAGAAATTACCAGAATGTAGAGGAGGTTAGCGAGAATGATAGTGCGGTATCGGCCGAGAAAAGAATCGGCGACGAAGGCCCCCAATAGTGGCAGCAACGACGCCGCTCCGCCCCATGCATTGACGTTGGCCGCCGCCGCCGCCGTGGACTGCCCGAGCGACCCGGTCAAATAGCTTATCAGGTTCGCTTCGATCCCATAATACGCGAATCTCTCCGCAACCTCCACACCTATAAATTACTAAAAATAAAATTAAATATCAAATTATTCAAATTAAAGCAAAAAAAAAAAAAAAGATTGATGGGCATAAATAGAATGTTGGGGTGTTGACTTTACCGATGATGAAACCGGCGGATGTCCAACCGCCAGATTTGGATCGTGGAGCAGGGTGGCCTTCGTGGTCAACGACACCGTCGACGGTGTCGTTCAGAAATGGGATTTCGTCTTCGTTGGCCATTGTCTTTCTCTCTTTTTTTCTTTTTTTTTTCTCAGACCAGAAAAGGCTAAGCAACCCAAAACTAGATTTAAGTAGGAATGAAATGTTGACATAAAAGAGATACTATAGAGTTTATACTAGTTTATGCTCCGAAGGACCAATAATTGAAGAGCAGAGGAATGTCTGATTGAGTGGAGGAAAAAAAAAAGAGTACAAGACACTTGAGGTGCAGTTAAAGTTTTAACATGAATAGCACCGACGAAAGAAATCATTGGCGCCGAATTTCTCTTAACTCGAAAAATACGTTCTTAATTCCAACTAAACAAATATTTTGATAAAAAATGAGGAAAGTGAATATATCGAAAAGTTAAATTTTTTATATATTAAATTTATATAAAATATATATATATATGTAAATTTAACGGTTAAAAAAAATATAATCTATCAAGCAAAAAAAAATCTCTCAAACAAATAAAACATTGGATGATGCTATTGAAAGGCCCAAGGATTTCACAAGACTATAAAACTATAGCTTAATTTAGATACTGCTATTTTTTTCTCGCAACAAACAATAAATGTTAAGAGTTGTTATAACAGATTTCACTAGATTTATTATGCGAACTTTGACTAAAAAGTTTACTGATGCTTTCATTGCTCATGAAATTAAAGATAAAGCTTTTACTTTAAATTTGGTTTGGATTAGGGATGTAGAGTTAAATCTCCATAAATTAGAGTTTGATGCGTTAATAATGGATTACTTTTGGTATTTTATTGTCAAATATGTCATCTAGAAAAAACTATTGAACTTATATTTAGCGTGCATGAACCTGATTTTTTACTTCTTACTCTTGAGTAATACTCTTTTAATTAATATAATTATTTAACTAAAACAAATATTAATCAATATAAGAGATAAAAAAATCGAGACTCATCGATACTTGTTGCTTTTCCTCATGCTCATGTTTTGGGTTATTATTATATGCTTGACTTTTCTCTTCCTTTTGGGCAAGTATAAACAGATTAGATGAGGAGTACATTATTATTAAATATAAAAATTTAATAATGTAATGTGATAAAAATTTAATCTCATTTATTATCATATATTATTTTAAGAATTATTTTTATAAATACTCTTGAAGTATGTATCATGTTTCAAAGTACTCTTAATTTTTTAAAACAATTCAAAATATCCCTTTAATGTATAAAAAACATATCAGGATCTCATTTATTTTACCGATTTGAGTTTTCAGTTTTAGGTTTTTACAGTTTATATATAAAAAACATATCAGGATCTCAATCATTTTACCAATTTGAGTTTTCAATTTTAAGTTTTTACAGTAAAAAGCTCTTAAAAAATGTCACATCTAACTTTTTCTGCTAGAGTGAAAAGTTCTTAAAAAATGTCACATCTCAGTTTAAATTAAAAACTCGAATTCACGAAGTGAACGAGGCCCAAGTTGCCCTCTCTGTTCACTTATGTGTATAAATTTAATGGATTTGTTAATGTGGCGCGGGGTTAAAAATTAATTATGAATATTATATACTAATTAAATTCAATAACAAAGATTAAATATTAAATAGTAACAAAAAAGAAGTTTAAAAAAAATTAATTATTTGGCTTTTGCCAAACCCAGACCTGTCGTCTTCTCCTTTCCCAAATGGAAGATCCCTCCTCGGTGACCCGATCCACCACCCATCGACCCACCCTCTCCACTCAGGTCAACGATCCGCCTTCGCACTTCGACGACCATAGTCTCCGAGAACTTGACTCGAAATGATGGGATCTCAGCGAGCTTGCTTGAAAGCGATTCAAACTGAAAATGTTAGGGATATTTGCAGGCTCGACAACGGGTTTGGGACAGAACAATGAGATCAACAATGGAGGATGGCAGTAGGGCTTCGGGTGGACTGGTAGGCGGCGAGCATGATAGCGGACGTGAGAATGAGTGATGATATATCTTAAGGGTTTTTCTTTCGTTTTCATAGCAAGTTCAAATCTGGAAATTTTTTCATAAATTGCTCCAATTCAAGGAGAACGATGGCTATTCTTGGACCATTTGAAGTTATTGATCATCAGTGGGCTGAAATTATTGTGGTTTTGGATCCCATTTTTATCTCTCAGATCTCTATTTTAAGTTTGCACACATGATCATCAGTTATGCTTATCCATGGGCAAACACGGTGAATTTTTTTTTTTTTTTTTTAGGAAAGCAAACATGGTGATATTAGAAGGAATACTGGTTTAATTTCATGATTTTTTTTCCTTTTGAATGGTTAATTCATGGGTTGCAGTACGTTACTAAAAAAAAAAGTTTAATCTTGTTTGAATTATATTTGGAATAATTGATTTTATATTATTCAATTTAACTAATAATGGTTTATATTTTAGAATACATTTAAATTTCTAAGGAGGTGTTACGTTAATAATCTGTTAGATTTATACACAGAAATAATAATTTGTCACGTTTTTTTATAGAACAAAAGGTGTTTTGAACTGTTTTAAAAAATTAGAGACATTCACATATATTTTAAGAGATATTTATAAAAATAATTTTTATTTTAATTATTTAATTTATTATAACTGTCTATGAATTAAACAACAATAAAATAAAATGAGGGAGAATAGCGAGCTCTGAATTTTCTCCCACTAAAAAAAAGAAATAGCATTTGGTCTTTTTTTTTTTTTTTTTTTGGAGCTGGAAATCGAATTCATTAAACGAGAAAAAAAAAAGGGGGACCCCTCTGGGGGAGAGTTGAAAAAAAAATACAGAGCAGCTACACAGCAGAAACCAGCACAAAGAACCAACAAACTACACCAACTAAAACAAGACTACTAAAAGCTAAGACGAAAACATTGGGTACATTGGAAAGAGTCCTAATTTTACACACATTCTCAAATGTCACGTTGAGACTTCTTCTTCTTCTTCTTCTTCTTCTTTATTTTTATTTATTTTTTTTCAATTCAAGAATTGGTCCAAGACTCCAACGGTTGAGAAAAGTAGAATCAATTAGCATAACCAATAGCACCATTAGAAACTAACACTAGTACCGGGACAAGTTTTGAGTGATTCTAAGTTCAAACTTGCAATATTTTATTAAAACACTTTTGCAGATGTAATTCAATACAAGAAGATTCTTGCAAATAGGAAAAATTGAAATTCAAAGAAGCTGTCAAGTTAAAGTACACAATTTGTCGTTATAATAGCTGCATATAAGAACAGAGTACCAAACTAAAAAGGCTCTATAATTTTCAATCCAAATGATTTTTTAAAGATGCGTCTTCAGTCACAGAAATTTTCATACAAGCCAAAGCAATAAGATTACACATAATCTTGAGAGCAGAACTTGTTGTAACACACCCTAAAACAAAATGGTGAAAATATATGTTATTTCCTTTTCTTTGTTTCTTTTGTCCCCCAACAAAGTACATTTTTGTTATACAATTCAAAAGAGAGATGTGGAGAAGAGAATGCTTGTAGATTGCTTCAGTGCTAAACCAGCTGCACTTCAGACCTCATGCTTAGAATATCCACGGGCAGACGATATGCTCAACGAGTCCATGAAAGTAGCGTTAGCTCTCTAGACTAAGCTCACCCTCATCCTCTCCGTCCTCAGGAGAGGCGGTCTCGGGGAAGAATTCCCCATCCGGATACATCTCGTGGAAAAGCTGCCAAAACCAACACAAAAAGTGAGATAGGAGGAATAATGTGGGCATGGAATTAAAATTACACAAGTCTTTCAAAAAAAAAAAAAAAAAACACAGTACCTTCATGGTTGCGTCTAATAGATCACTGTAGTGAAGATTTCCATCTGGCATGGGAGTGGAGCTGATATATCCAAATTCACCCTGAAAACAACATAAAAAGCCCTTAACATGAGACGGGATAGCGTCTTACCAGGAAGTGAAGATAAATATTACCAAGAAACAATAAAAAGAGAAGCACACCGTAATCAGCTCCTGAATAAAGGTGGCACTCCAAAGCAAAGTAGGTTTTACTTCTGCATTTTCATTCTGAACTTCAGAACTACTTTCAGCATTTTCTGAATCTGGGATCTTGAGAAGGGCACTCATAGCTGCTCGTAGCAAGTTTTTCCCCCGTTCTGCATCATCGCATAATGCCGAAAAGTACAATACAAACCTGAAGAACAGCCGTTACACTGTCAAATTTCACATATTCCTCTAAACAGTGAGTGGTGCACAAGTTTATTTACAGGCTTTGCTATCCATATGTAAGCATGCTAATTTAGAAAATGAAACCGACATCCACATCAAATTTTAATATTGACGTTTGATCAAGAACTTTAAATAGCACCTAGTATTTGTTTTTTTGTTTTTTTGTTTTTTTCAAAGGTTTGAAGCTCCAATTCAGAAGCTACAAAGTCAGAAGTAGTGTATATAGATTTCCCAGGGAAGGAATATATAAATACTGGTACAGACTAAGGCAGCCACAGGTGAATTTTTATTTTTATTTTTTTATTACACATTCTTAATAGAGAAAAATCTCATCACGCGTAAATTCTTTTTCCTTCTTTTCTTAGCTTTGCATTTACTCAAATTGAAATTAAGAGCAATTCTTTGAATCTATTCAAGCAAATAAATATGCAAAATTACCAGCTTCACTCAAATTCATGCGTGAAAGATCTCACTAAGATTCCTACTGCTTTTCAGAAATATTATATTTTGAAAAATCTTCATAAAAAGTAAAGGAGTTGTTGATGCAAACTCTAGGTTGGGAGACAGACGACCAAATCCTTGTGTTTATATGATTGATATAGGCAAGACTAGGGCGTATTAATCACAAAACCATGATTTCGTCAGTAAACACTACTCCAGAAAGTAAGGCCAAAGAGGCATGATAAAACTCAAAAACCAAGCATTAGTGAATTGAAAGAAATGGGAGAATTATGTTCCATTAATGAAGAGAAACATTGGCTTCATAAGAACTAAAATCACTCACATGCCTGAAGGACAAACTGCCAAGCCACCACCAATCTGCACAGCTCGGATTGACGTATTCTGCTCAGGGTATAAAGCTAGATAAAATAAGGAAGTCAATTTCGTCATTTACTTGTTCAGAGTCCACTGAGAAGGGTACAGAATCGGAAAGAAAACTTACAACGAGGAGGGTATACAACGAGAAAATTAGACATGTTTGGTTTCAAGGAACTTGCAATGACACAGATCCCCCTAGCCACCTTCCCTTTAACATCTCTCAGATTTAAACCTTCAACACTTTTTCTGAGAGAATCTGGTGGAGATGGGACCGTGAAGGTTGGATCCAGGACAAGCTGATCACTGAACAAATCCTGACCTGAAGCTAATCTGACACCCTTATATCTCCCACTTTCCTGTGAAATATCCCAATCCCAGATAAATATGGATCCATTTGCACCTTCTGGGCAACAAAAGTTTCATAAATTAGATATATAAAAAACAGTTCGTGTCCAGTATCTCTACCTTGCCCATAAGCAATGAAAGCACTGGCATCCTCAGAACCTGTATAACAAAGGTATCAGAGTTAGTAAGCCTGCATAGCACATCGATAAAGGAAGGAAAAAATATGTTAATCTTTTCCTCCATCCCCGTAACAGAATGGAAGGAAACAGAAGTAAAAAGAGAGTACTTTCAGATAACGATACATGGACACAAGAGTAAAACACTAGCTACAGAAAGTTCTATCTATATCTAAATTTCTAAATCAAATGCCCTTGCTGCACAATTCAACAAAGAGGTATAGGGCTTATCCCTTTTTCCCTCAGTCATTCTTGTAAGTTAAATTTCCCGACTTTTGAGCTAAATGAACCTACTCCAAGCCCTTCTGACGCGAAGAATAATGAACTAAATTCTAAGTTTTTCCATGTAAAATCCATCAAACAATTTGGAAGAAGACATAATGAAAAAATAATGAAGGATATAGCAAAAGTGGCATAAAGTTAAATAGGGGTATCATAAAGCATAAGGCACAAGTAGCTAGCAATAAAACTTCCGTATGAAATAAAGAACAATAGATCTCAACACCAAAACTTACATAAAGGCAACCTTTGACAGCAGCGCGACGGCAAAAGGCCTGAGATAATTCCCCATGCCCGTAAATAGGATAAATCAATGCCCCAGATGCATTCGGAAACCTAAAAGAACATGCAAAGTAAAACTAAACTTAAAAACATGTTTGCAACATAGTGATGTTATAAGGTTTTCTTACTAAAATGAAGTCCACTAGTGTTTAAGAAAATATACTAACTGCAAACATTAGGTGCTAACCACAAACATGAAACATAAGAACAAAAGGCTGCAACATTTTCATATAAACTGACATTAAGTACTTTTACAACTTTCAGTCACCCGCAATTCATCCCTGGAAGAAAAACGAAAAATTTCTATATTGAAACTATCCAATGTAAGGAAAAAGAACATATACAATGAGGTCTTCAAAGACAAGAAATTCAGCTCAGCCTATATGCAGTTTAAATGCAAGGGATAAATGTTTAAGTAACCAGCAGAAAGGATATGAAAATGAACCTGCCAACTGATTTGTTGTAGAGAGCCAAACGATCTATCCCACCTTTTGTCTTAAGCACATCTTTGCAAACTTCTAAGTTGTTTTGATCGTAATCTGCCATGGCTATTGCATACAGAATAATCCTGCAACAGGAGGAGGAAAAAAGAACAAAAATAATCAGAAAGTAGTTTGCAACAAAAAAGTTATTCAGAAGATTGATTTTAGATGTGGTCTATACCGCAGAGAATTTATAGAGAACATATTTATACACAAAGAAATCTCACTGACAAATAGAGAAAGGCGGAAATATCAGTACGATTGAATCTTGGGTGGCAATCTCATTTTCTTCAAGAATTCAACAAAAGGACTCCCCAGATCTTCCTCCGAGATCCTTGAATCCTGAGTACCTTCATTGCCATTATCATGATCAGAAACCTCCAAGTGTTGCTGAACAAGCTTGAAGAACCTCATCAACTGGTTCTTCTCCGTAAGACCAAGGGTTTTGTCCTTAAAAATTGCTGCCCGAGAGTCTGGGACATTCCATAGCCTACCATTCTCGTCGCACACAAAGCTCGCGTCAATGCTCTTAAACTCCAAATACTGGCCTGCACCTGATTTCACTATCAGATCAATGGCTTTGTCCGCGCAGAAGAACACCCTAGGCCCGCCAAGGTCAATATTGAAACTTCTGGAACGTTCCGATAGGGTTTCGGGGGCATAGGAGGAAATCTCAACATCGGCATACAGAGGACTGGAAGCGAGATCGAGTATGGTGTAGTCTGAGGTATTGCTATTGGTGGTGGTGGTGGAGGATTGGGGTTGACTAGCTGTAGAATGGGAATTAAGAAAAGAGGTTAGCTCGGGAATGGTAAGGGAGGCAAAATGGCTTCCATAGAAGGGGTTGGGGTCGAGGTGGAGGACGGTTTTCCCAACAGCAGAGGCGGTAGCGGCGATCAAGGATCCAGGAAGGCCAGTGCCAATGATGATGAGATCAAATGTATTGGGCTCAATAGGAGGATACGAAGAGGCTTCGCTCATGGCGGCTCTACAGTGATACCAAGGTCTACAAATGTAGGTTATAAGTCAGTGACAACAAACAAATGACCAGCGGAACCTTTAAAGCAACGATATTGGTGATCACAAGGATCCATAAACACCTTGAATTCTTTTTTTTTTTTTTTACTCATATTATTGATAAAAAAAATTTAGACCTAAGGGTACGTTTGGTTGCAATGACGAAATGGTAATGAGTAGGGCCGGCAATATGGGTCACGACACGACGACACGACTTGAAAACGACAAGAATTTTGTGGGTTAGGGTTGAGAAAAAAGAGGTTCGGGTCAGAATCGGGTCGACCTGAAATTGACACGAAAAACACGGGTCAATTTCGGGTTGGACCCGCCTAACTCGAACACGACACGAAACTCGTAAAAAACTAAAAAATACATATATTTTTCATTTCATATTTTAAATTTTATTATGAACTTGTGATATCATGATAGTTATGCTCAAAATCTTATACTATTATTTGCTTAATTTCAATGGATGTTATTGTAATTTAGTGTGTTATGAATTTTAAGTTATTTCTAATATGTAAAAAACTAAATAAAAGTATACAATTTTCGTGTCAATTTCGGATTCACGGGTCAATTTCGTGTCACGTGTCATTTTCGGATCGTGTCATGTCAACTCGTAAAGTGGTCGTGTCGTGTTCGTGTTGCGGTTTTTAAAAAATTTCGTGTCATGGGTCGTGTTCGGATTGATTGCAAATTTAAAAAAAATGATCAAAACACGACACGAACACGACATGTGACACAAATTGCCACCTCTAGTAATGGGTAATGGAATGGAATTAGAATGTACTGGAATCATAAACTGATTCTTTAGTTTGGTTGAAGTTATAGAATCAATACATGAATGAGGATTATGCTGTTTGGTTGACAACGGAATGGAATAGAAGTAAACTGTATTTTGACAAAAATACCCTTGATTAATAATCCTAAATAATTCAATATTTAATTAATTAAAATAGTAAAAAAATAATTTAATTATTAAAAAAAACTTTTTATTTGAAGGATGAAATTTAAAAACTATATTTCAATCGTAAAAAAAATAATATTTAATTTTTTAATGTAATAATAAATTATCACAGGCTCAAATATGATCACTTTTGGCATCTACCATCATATGTATCAAGTAAAATGATCATTTTGGCTTCTGTCAATAATAAAAATGAACCAATATATCATTCAACTACATATATAATCTGAAAATATAGTCATACACCAAAACTAGTAGATTTACCTATATATAGCATCAATCATCTGCCAAGTCAAGCAAGTTCCTAGTTAATACAATTTAATAAAGTGAAGCATAATTTTAATTAATTACAACATCAAAAGAGAAATGCATAGCACATACATTACAATATAGTCATACACCAAAACTAGTTAATTGTATGAACAAATAAAATTCAACCTTTCAAGAATCTTAATTTGCGAGGAATCATCTAATAAAAGAGCTCTAACATGAAAACTTCTATTAGTATATAGCAGAAGGAAACTATATCAAGCATGTGAAAATGTTAGCAGTATATAACATGTTCTGAGTACAGAGCACTTAATTTTTCTCCCTAGTCATTGCAATATGAAAATTTATACCACAATCAACAGCAAAAGAGTACAAATAAGTAGCCCATCCTGAATGATCTCAAGAAAAGAGAATTATTTGATAGGTACATGTACAACTGCAGTTTTAATATACAAATTTAATCTAACTTGATGAAAATCTGACGTTATTCGATAATGCAGGGTACACAATTTTTTCCTTAAGAAATCATACAGAGTTTCAAGTTCCAACGAAATCAGGCACTAGCTAACAGAAATACAGAGTGGGAAAGGAAAAGAAGAAAGAAATGAGTAAGAGCCAACATGATAAAATCCTTGTATTGTATCAAAGGATGTGTTCTCAGATAATAGAACAGAAAAAGTTCTGCAAATCCAGAACTTCAAAAGAAAAGAAACTACCATCTATATTGAACTTCCAACTTTTATTAACAAAATTACAAAAATCGAAAAACCCATATTATTTTGTTCTCACTTTAAACCCACAAATCTCGCGAACAATCTCAGCATCGTTCTGTTGAATTCAAGTAAAATTTGCAATACCATAATCTATATATAAAACCCAGATTTCAATTTTCTCCCCAAAAGCTTACAGGTTCCAATCCATTACACATTTTATCAATTGAATTTGTTGGTCGAGAAATGATTAGGGAAAGTAATAAATCTTTGGTTTCGAACTTAACCAGTCAAAATACCGAATCCATTATTCCAGACGAATAACATCAAAAAGAGAGAGAAGAAAGAGTACCTGTGAGAGTGAGGGCCCTTTTTCTGGTAAACCCTAGAGGGAAGGAGGTTCTTCTACAACTTCCACTGCTTAACCGGGCTCGATAGAACTATTAGGGTTTGCGAGAAGAAGAAGAAGAGGGTGAGAGTCCGAAAGAGGGAGAATATGTGTACAGAAATTACCCTGAAGAGTCTCTCTTATTGACTGCGCAAGGACAAGGAGGAGCGCCGGAAACAACAGGGCTGAAGCTGGAGGAGAGCCGGAAAGACCAGGGTTGGAGCTGGCTGTATTGTCGATCCATAAACACCTTGAATTCTTATTATTTTAACCCATATTATCGACGAAAAATTTAGACCAAAGAGCACATTGTTTTAATGACCAAAAAATTAACTTTCTCAAATAATATCAGACATTTAGAAAAAAGAAATAAAACGAAATTAGGCTTTGATGACTTGATTCATTTATAGATTATTCTAGTATCAGGCTAATACTATCAATTGATTTATCAAGGGTTTATAGCCTTAGGTTGAATTTTTCTATAACTGAACAGAACAGGGTAAATGGCGGATTGCAAATACAGATACTAATCTTTGTGATGATTAACGATATAATAAATGTTATTTAAGGCCGCCAAAAGCAAGACTTGGCCAGATTTTTATTATTGTTTTGTTTTTGTTCTTGTTTGTTTGGTGTTATTGCTTCTGATTTCTAATATTTTAAGGCCGTCAAACTCAAGACTCAAATCAACCAAAACTTCAAAATCAAGCGACGAAACAACATTTTCTTGAAAACAAAATAACAAAGATGCCATGAGAGAAGTCGAGAACTCACCGTATAAAAGATTCGATAGAGCGAGAACTTCACAGGTGCGGGTATAGAGAGAGAGAGAGAGAGAGAGAGAGAGAGAGAGAGAGAAGGGGAGTGCCGACAGCGAGTCTGATATGGCCATACGGATGGCCTTCAACGTAGGGTCGTTTCACGAGAAAATGAGTGAAACTGACATAAAACTAGTGTTATTTTTATGTTTTTTAGGGTTGTTTTGCACTTGGGTACCTAAACTTTTAACAATCATATTAGTCATGTTTGGTTTAACAATTTGAGTTGTGGCGATTTAAACTTTTTTAGTTTGAATTTTAGAATTTAAATTGTGTGATTTGAATATCAATATGCTAACAAATTTTAATTTAAATTGAAAATAAAATATGAATTGTGTTGATGGAATGTTAGAAAACAGACTACTTACAACAGGCGAAGCTCGAAATAGAGTTATTACACTTCTGTGGCACTTTCATCTTGAAATATTCCGGACGACAATGCGTATCTATGCAAACAAATAGAAAACACATTTTCTCTTACCAATTGAGAATCGCACAAAGTTTCTACAGATGAGAAAAGCACTAACTAATGAAAAACACATTAAGCTTTGGTAATTATGGAGCCAACAAACTTTTGTAGCGCAACAACAGAAGAGCCAGATTCTCCAAGAGCTGCTGAAGCCATGTCCTTCATCTTCAAGCTTTCATGGCGGATCTCTTTCCCATGTTCCGAGTCCATCAATTCCCTAACTCTTCTCTCAACCTCATCCCCACTCACAACCCCATCTCCTTCTCTTTGCTCCACACCCACAGCAATCCCCAAGTCCTTCACCATCACATTCCTGTTCATGTGCTGCTCCGCGTAGAGCGGCCACGCCACCATCGGCACCCCGGCGACGCCCGCCTCGAGCACCGAGTTCCATCCGCAGTGCGTCACGAACCCCCCGATTGCCTCCTTTCTCAACACCGCCACTTGCGGCGCCCAAGATCTCACCACCATTCCCCTCTCTTTCGTCCTCTCCAGAAACCCCTCCGGAAACAGACTCTCCCATTCAAAATCGTCCCCCAACACCTCCGTCTGCTTCGTCTTCTCATCGCTCGGCGGCTTCTTCACCACCCAAAGAAACCTCTGCCCACTCCTCTCCAATCCATTCGCGATCTCCCTTATCTGCAACGCCGAGAACGATCCTCTACTTCCAAAGCACAAGAACACCACGCTTCTGCTCGGTTGCGCGTCAAGCCACGCCAAGCAATCGGCTGATGTTTCGTTACTACTTTCCATCTTATCGCGGGCCTCATCAATCAACGGTCCGATACAATACACCGGAGGAGTAGGCCCTTCCGGAACACAAACTCCGTCGCCTAGAGCCTTGATTGGAATCGGTTCAAGCCCGTCAAACGTGTTGACCAGAATACCTTTTGATTTCGGAAGATGCGAACAGAAATCGACCATTTCCCAGTATGCAGGGTTGTCTCTGTCAAGCATTGGCCCCGGCACGTGGGGAGCATTGAGAGGTGGCATTCCGGGGAAGTAAAGAACGACGCCGTCCATGTCCTTGAAGCTCTTCGTCGTTTGATTGTGGATCGTCGGGAAGTACGAGAAGGCGGCAAGGACGGCGGCGCCGGAGGTGAAGAAGTAGTAAGTGGGGATCCCCATGTCTGTGGCGACGTCGAGAGCGGAGGTGCAGAAGAGGTCGATGACGAAGGCGCGGAGGGCGGAGGACTCGGAGATGTCTTTGAGGGCTTGAGCGACGCTGTGGCGATTGCGGCGGATGAAGTTGAACCCAGTGGCGGCACGGCTGCGGATGGGGGCGGTGTCCACGTGCTGAAAAGGGAAGCGGCGGAAGGAGATGGCGGGGTGGGATTGAGAGATTCGATGAATGTAAGGGGCGAGGGCGGGAGTGTCATTGAAGCCGGTGGTGAGGAGGATGGTTATGGTGAATCTGTAGGAGTAGTGGCTCAGGATGAGCTTGCCTAGCTCTACCATGGACACCACATGGCCAATACCCGGAGCTGGGTAGAGGACTATGGCTTCGTTCTTTGTTCTGTCTGCCATTCTTTTTTTTTTTTTTTTTTTTTTTCAAGAGTTGAGAGCGTTGAGATTTATACAAGGAAGAATTAGCTAAACCCTTTTTTACTACTTTTTACATAAATGACCGATATTTTTTATTTTATGAAAATAGTCAAATTTTTATATTTTTTGAAAATGGCCTTGTTTTAAGAAGTGAATTAGTGACTCTAATTAATCAGTAATTAACTCATAATTTATGAATAATTTATCATAATAAACTACTTTTAATTTATTGATTAAAATTAATTAATTTATAATTAATTTTGATTAATTATTAATTGATATTAACTAATATAAAAAATCATCAAATTAATTAGTTATAAACTAAAGTTAATCACTAATTGAATCGTTAAATCAGCCAATAATAAATTATTGAGTCAATCACTGATTAACAGATTGATTAATAAACTTAAAAAACGAGTATTTTTATAATTTTACAAAATTTCAATTATTTATTTAAAAATCCTTCAAAAAGAGTTATTTGCGCTGAAATCCTTTATACAAATACATTTGTTGGGTTAGGTAACAGGCTCGTGTTCAACTAAATACTAATAATAAATAAATAACAATAAGAACAATAAATAAATATCAGAGAGAATTGCATGCCAACTGTAAACAATGAGGTTAGGTATCAATCTCCACTTTTCCAAAAAAAAAAAAAAAAAAAAAAAAAGAGCTATCAAACTCCAGTAAGAAAATGATTTATGCCTGTTTAGTTTGTTAATTTGAGTTTTTAATTTAAATTAAAATGTGATTTTATATGAAAATTTTTTACTATAACAAAAATATTAAATGTGATTATTTTTTGAAATTTTTTATTGTAATAAAATTTAAAATTTAAATTTAAATTAGTAAAATAAATGGGATCTAAAAATGTGTACGTAGTGTGATCGGAATATTTTAACTCCACTTGAGATCCTTTCAGACTTGCACGAATTTTTGAACGAGAAAATCGCATTTAGATATCATGAGTTTTATCGGATGAGTGAATTGCTAGCTCAAAACTATAGCTATGGTGATCTTTGCTTCACTCTCTCTTTTCCTTTGGACAAATAATGGTCTCTGGAATTTTACAATTTTTTTACACGGAGCCACAAAACTTTCTTCCAACTTTAATTGGTAAAAAGATTTTTTCTTAATTAATTAAAGATTTTTTTATCAATCGTAAATAAATCATTTACGTTACGCAGTGAATGGTTTATTTACCATGAATTATGCTATTTACTTAATTTAATTTTAAAAATCGGCTACTTACTACCATTTTTTATATGAAATTTTCTCAATGATAAAACATCAAGGCCTTGGATTATGTTGTATTAAAATTACAGAGTTCTCATGATCAAAACATGTTGGCAACTATAATATTTTATTTATGATAATTATAGTCAAAGTCACAGCTAATAGATTTAAGTAATCAATAATGAGTCAATTCGTTCTCAGTGGAATATCAAACAAATTATCAATTAGATTCAATTTTAGTAAGTATTTTAATTAAATCTTGTAGACATTAAAAATACTAATACTCTCAATTATGAGTTTATTGGAAAAATCATATGCATGAATTCTTCATTTCTTGAATTTCCCTGCAGTGACGAAACTATAAATTTTTTATCGTAAGACTAATAAGTAAAATAAAAATTTAATCAAAACTAATACCTATTAATTGGGACTATTATAGATTATGCAATATTAATTTAAATATTTTAACTATCATAATTTTTTAATTAATTTGGTATGAAATTTTAATTAAAATGCTATTTTAGTTAACTAGCACGATATTATTGAAGACACATGATTTCAAATAGGATAAAGAGACACATGAGTTGCTTTGTAACTTGAATATCTTTAGTCAAAGTATTCTCTTTAGAAAATTAACATAATTACATATAAAAATAAAGGAAACTAACCTATATAAAATATGGAAAACAAATCCTACTCTAGAAAAGGAATAACAAGATAATAAATAATTTTAAAATTTGAATTCAAACGATAAAAGATATCGTTGTTGGATTTTGTGGCCTGCGATGTCCAGTTAACCAGTGGGCAATAGGGGCAGCAATTCGTGTTGACGGGTCATGTTCGTGTCGTGTTAACTTCCTCAGTTGACACAAATAGGTCTGACACGAACACGACTCGTTTATTAATCGTGTCGAAATACAAAACCCAAACACGACCTGTATATTGGCGGATTGACACGACATGACACGAATAATCCGTTTATTAAACAGGTCATAAACGTGTCATGTCAACCCGTTGATTACCTGTCAACCCGTTTATAAAATAGGTGATAAATGGGCCGTGTTAACCTAATTCTGAACCTATTTCTTAACATGTTTATAAAATAGGTGATAAATGAGTCATGTTAACCTATTTCTGAACGTAAAAGGGTTGGGTATTCGTGTTACCCAAATATGACACGTTTAATAAACGGGTTATGGCGGGACAATTGCGGGTTGGCGGGTCAACCTGAAAATAACATGTTATTTAATCGTGTTTCACGGGTTCGACATGATTTTGACCCGTACCTATTTATGATAAACCAAAACCCGCTAATTTCGTGTGGGTTACGAGTTGTGTCGTTGTATCGCCACCCAGATTGCCAACTCTAGTGGGCAGCAACCGGTTAACTAGTTAGTGAATTTCACCCTCTATATGTAGCTAATTAAGGGAAAAGTGAAAATATCGGCATTGGTAGAAATATCACAATCTAGTAAGATAATAGGAAAAAACATAGTTTCAGTGGAAAAATAAAAAAAAAATTATGGAAACTATGTATGTTTAATTTAGATATTTGTTGACGGTGAAAATTCGTCAACTTAGAATTTATTTCACTGGGATTCTCACACTACGATTCTCACGAATTGACTCAAAAATAAATGCCTTAAATAAAGAGAACGCAAAATATTATTGCCTACGTCCACTTGTGAATGCACTAAGTTTTAAGAGTACACAGGATCTCTCTTAGATTAGAAAATTGTGCGTAAAAAATCAAATGAGAAGTTCAATCTTTTTTATAGGCTCTCCTGAATTCAGAGACTATTATC